AACTTTGACAAGTAAGCATTCTGACATATTAACAACTGGCCTTCTGGGTGTCTGGCATAACCCTGAGGAGTCTGTTGAAATATGAACCTCACCTGCCCTGAGTCACAGATGAAAAGGCATGTTACGAAGTGATGGGTTGGGGTGAACTTTTGGTAAAACGAGTATCTTAGAAGATAGAACTGGATGTGGTTAAGGTTCTGTTCCGCTTGCTTTATGAGCTCTGTTTCTTCAAGTATAAACTCTTCCATGTGTTAAGACTGTTTTATTCTACACCATTAGTGTTCTTCGAACACTTGGCAAGTGGTGAATGAGTGAGGCTCATGGTGGTTGAGATGCCCTCCTGAGGCCTTCTACCACATTTGTTTGTACATCCTGCTTGCAAAAGCGTGAGCTGTTGCTGCCTGGTGTGAATTCTGGTTTGTTTTCAGCAAGACTTGCGATGTCTGCTCTTCCCAACGAAGCTGTTCCTTGTTCCTCCCCAATACCAGCTAATAAAGCATCCAAGGACTTCTCTTTATCCTCTTAGGTTTTCATTTTGTGGAAACAAATGGGTGAATTCATCCATGGCCACAGCCATCGAGGAATAATTGCTCGTATTTCAGCAAGAAAATGATTGTGGGAAAGAAGCCTTGTCCTTGACTAAGATGACTATTTCGAAAGTAGCCTATGCACAATATTAAGGTATTTATATGTGTCACTACTGTTTGGGAAAACAAGAAGCTTAATCACAAATCTTATAAAATTGGTGTTCTTTAAAAATTTAATTTTTAAAAATTACCTGCCATGCCTGACAGGTTTTAGAAGTTCAGTAAATAGTAGTCAAAGTTCTGGAAAAATCATTGACTATAGTAAATATGCATGCTGAACATCTTCATATTGCCATAAGGAAAAAAATGGAAACATCTAGAACCATGTATCAACCAGAGGACAGGGTCCATGTGACACAGAAAAATGGTACCTGTAGGTTACTGTACCTAAGCCAAGAAAGACTCTTCAGACCAGAACAGATGGTGTGAGGTGTAAAATGTACAATAACCCACATTTCTGCCCGATATTCTCTAGCCTCTCTGCTGGGCCTGGAGGAGGCTGGGAACACCAGTCCTGTTCCCAAGGAGCTACCATCTAGAGGAAACACACGTGCTTCACAGCCCTACTTGACAAGATATAGTTTGTTGGGGGCAGGATGATAATCCCAAGTGGAGTTCTAGCTCCCACTGTATGTCCTTGTTTGGGGCTGTTGGTTCAAAGCTGACTGAAAATAATCAGAGGACTTCTCGCTGAGATCTTCAAGCGAGTGTTTTCAGATGCTGAACACAAAAGTGTTAGGAAACAGGAAGAAACAGCTATTCCTCTAGAAAGAACCACAGGCAGGCTTCTCTGGGGACAGTGATAAAAGCATTTTAGGGCAAAAAATGTATAATGTCAGCTACCTTTTGGGGGGCTGCATTCTTCTGTCAGGCATGGCCTAGGGGGTCCCAGCCCTGATATCTAATTCACTACTTGTACCTGTCCCACGAGGAGGGACTTTTCTTATTCTACAGATGCCAAGAAAGAGAGTCAAAGAGGTGAAATCACTTGTTCAAGTTCTCAGAACTAGAGAAGTCAAGTTGGGATTCCTATCTGACGTGTATCTGACTCCCCAAGCCATATGATTTCCAGAAGACAAAAGGGATCAGAACTTTAACACGGTTAACATTCACTTTGTGTTTTGAAAATTCAACGAGGGAGGAATTCTGGGACATATTCTTTCTGCTTCCACACAAATCATGTCTCTTTGAAATGTGTCCCATAAGTTCTAGAATTCTTAGTGGGTTTCCTTAGACTTCCAACTGATTCAACTACACTCTGAATCCAGAAATACACTCAAGAATGAAAACTGGTCATTGACAAATAGTGTGGGAAGGGAACCATGCAATTGTGTTGAACGGGGGTAGGGGGTGTGTCACAGCATGGCATTCAGAACTTAGAAGTTTCAGTCTATTGGCTTCAAGAAGGGCAGAGGGTGGAGCTGGCTAGAGGAAATTAAGGCTTATTCAACCAATGAGAAATTAACATCAGTAACCAAAGTAAGAGAGAAAGAGTTCCTGAACCACGGCCATAGCACCCATCTGGGTAGAGGGGATGAAAGAGATATAGTGTGAGACACATGTCGAGTATTGTCTTCTGGGCATGACATGACCATGCCCTCTTGAACTGTCAGCTTCTGGGTTTATCCAAAGGGGATCTGCACAAGATTGGGCCCATTAAGTTTACATCATAGGTAGAGAAGGAGACCCACAAGGCCCAAGGAGATATCTATCTATCTATCTATCTATCTATCTATCTATCTATCTATCTATCTATCATCTATCTATCTCTATCTCTATCTATCTCCATAGTTTAAGGAAAACTTAGAGAAGACAGTTACGTTTTGAACAGGTCATGCACCTGACCTAAAAGGCTCTTTCCATATCTATCTATCTATCTATCTATCTATCTATCTATCTATCTAATCTATCGCCTTGGTTGTTGAGACAGATTTTTTTTTTCTTCAGTGGTGAAGCTGCCCATAAGTTTCCAACATAACTAATCCTTCTCCCATGCACCTGTAAGTAACCCTGATTAAATTCCCTATTTCACTAAGAGGCTTGAATGGAATCATTTCTTTGGTCTGCTTGTGGTGTCCTATCTGGTGTAATTGTTCATTTTCCCAGGAAACATTCACATGGCAATATGCTGGCCAGGTAAATGCAGGGGCAAGTGTGAGAATCCTAGTTTTCAAAGGCCAGTGGCAGTGCCATTCTTAGAAACTGGAGGGACTGGAAGAGCAGTGGGTTTGGGGAAAGAATGGCTTTAGTTCTGAGATGATGTCAGCACTCTAGAGGGACATGTTCCACAGGCAGCTGGAACCCCGGGTCTGTCCATGCTTTCATTCTACAAGTACCTATTGACTTCCCACTGTGCACCTGGTTTGAGCTTGACAATGGCTGCGGAGTGATGGGCCAAACTCACACGTGGTCTGCTCTCATGACGCCCACAGGCACAGGACTCCACAGAGAATTACAGATTGCCATGCTAGGCAGGAAAGAACAGGGGCTAGAAGAACCAGCCTGAGAGTGAGACTGGACCGTGGGAAATGCAAGGGCAGGTCAGGTGGGATGAGAAGGTTCTGGAGCACACAGGAGGCAATGTCTGGCTGGGGATGAAGCAAGAGTTGAGGGTACTTAAGGGAAATGAGTCAGGGGACCTTATCACCTTCCAGGCTCTGGGGCTCAAGAGGCCAGAAGTCTCCATTTCCTAAATCTTGAGGACCCACATTTAAAGAAGGCAATGTGTGTCTGGCTGAGATTAGATTTTGCCCAGGGGCTGTAAGCATTTTAGCACCAATCCATTTGAAACTTGCTTTCACACATTTCCCAGCATGTCCCCTAGCCTGGCCTGGACACTGAGAGACCTGGGTGGTTCCTCATCCGTTAACTCCAGACTGAGCTGAATACTGATACTTGAGATTCCTAAAAACCAAGAAGCCATGCCTGACCCATTTCCGTCATCATAACAGAAAGCTGAGGTAGGGCTTGTGAGAGATCCCAGGTAGGTCCAAGCCATCATGGTAGAAACAGCATCTATTGGGCTTTATAGAGCCACTTAGATCCCAGGGACAGCCAGGAATGCTGTACTGAGCCCAAGCTGGGAGTTGTTCAGCTTTGTGTGGCTAGTAGCTATGATGACAGCAGTAAAAGTGAGCATTTCCTGGACATTTATTTGTGTGTGATGGGCACTATTTGGTTTATTTAGATATCCAATAGCCCTGAGAAGAATTTACTGTTTTGGGCTGGAGAGATGGCTCAGTGTTAGTTAAGCTGCTCTTGCAGAGAACCTGGGTTTGGTGCCCGTGAGCACCCACATGGCAGCTAACAACCATTCACAACTCCAGGTCCAGGAGATCCGATGCCCTCTGTTGACCTCCAAGGACATTGCATGACATGGGTGCACTTACATACACGCAGGCAATACACTCATACACATAAAAATAATAAACTTTTTATTATAAAAGAATTTACCATTTGTATCCCATTTTACAGATGAAGAAACTGAGGCACAGAGTGGTGACGGCACTTTCCCAAGGCCCCTTAGCTTTTGGTCAGAAGATCCTGGGTTTGGATATCATGGTGCCTGCTTTCCTAGCTCTTCTGAATGAACAGGGGCCATTTCCAATGAACTCAGAGCAAGTAAGTCCTGTGTTAGGACAGGGCCTGATTCATGAGACAGTGGAGAAAGGATGGGTGAGAAGACAGCAAGGGAGGGGATGCGTCTAGGCAGTCATCCTCCTGAAAGCTATTTCTGACCCCAGAGGATTCTGGGATTTTCAGGTAGAAGGAACCCCAGCAACAGCTTAATTCAGTTCTCAAAGGCAGGGGCGTGGGGGGGGGCAAGGCACACTTTAGAATGGAGGCACAGAGCTCAGGGCACAAGCCAGTCTCCTCCACATTCTTCTCTTTCTGTGAGGAGTCTCTGCCATAGGGATAGTGTCTTCTCCTAGGACAGCCTAGCCTCCACCCCACCGGCCCACCTGAGAGACCCACTTCAGGCTGACCAGGTGCTTCTGGTTCCCCTGGAAGTCCAAGGATGCCAGGAAGAAAGGAAGTTGGAGACACATGACACTCAAGGAGGTGGTACCCCCAAAACTCCTTCACAAGGAAGCCATGCTGCACCCCTCAGAGGCACTTGCCCTGCCCCGTCCCCATCAGTCTGTGGACATACTGCTGTGATCCAGACTAGATTTATCCTGTACAGGGTCAGCCCCATATAAAGTCATTTCTAAGACCACACCTGGCTCTAAGATGCCACCTCAGGGCACAAGGTTCCCTTCCATCATGTTCTGGGAAAGGGGTATGATCCGCCAGCCCCATATCCGTCCCCTCCTGAACCTTTAGCCACCCTAGGGGGCACTGCCCATCCACCATAAGGCTGTGGTGACCCCAGAGCTGTTCTTTGGCCCTGTGAGGCCAGGCAAGGCTTACCTTTCCACCTGGAGGTTGACCTTGGAGGGCTCCACGTTGGGGTTTTCCCATTCCATTTGTGGGCAGTGCATGAAATAGCAGAGTGTATACAGGGCCTCAGGCTCCCAGTAGAGCGCCCCCTGCTTGTGGTGCAGGGGAGTGCCATTGCCATGGTGCTTGGTGTTGAGGGGCTGCAAGTGATGCATTGCTCGGGACACCAGGTCACCTGTGGACAGAAAGAAGCAAGATTTCAGAACCTCCAGGCACCTGAAACTCTGAAGACACTCTGGTCGCTGGCTCCTCCAGCTTTGAAACAGCCCCATATCAAGCAAAGAGGAGAGTAAGTGTTCGTTATCATGTGATTGTCAGGGACTTAGCTGATGGGTGATGCTGTTTCAAACACAGGGCACTGGTACCATCTATAGTCCTGCCCATATGTAACTCCAACTCCTTTTTACTTTTTTCCTCTCTCATGTAGCCCAGGATGGCCTGGAATACACTATGTAGCTGAGGATAACCTGAACTTCTGATCCTGCCTCCACCTCCTGGATGTTGGAATTACAGACAGGAATCACTGCACCCAGTTTATGTGGTACTGAGGATGAAACTCAGTACTTCATGCAGGTGAAGCATCCTACCAATTGAGTTACATCCTGAGCCCTGGAACCCAGTTTCTAACAAGGCACAGGGAGCCCTTTGTACTGCACTCCTGTTAACCACTCCCCACCTCACTATGCATGCCCTTGGTTAACCAATGTGTGGCAGACGCTGCGTACTTGGAGGTACAAGAAAGAGCTCTGTTCTGTCTTTCCTCCAGCTCTGTATGTATGCTGTTCCCTCTCTGTAGAATATTTGCCCACCTCTGGGAGAACTCCTACTGATCACAGAACTATCTGCTTGGTAACTCCTCCAGAAAATCATGCTTGAGCCACCTGTCCACGTCAGTCAGCACTCTGTCCTCCTCTAGGGAGGTTCTTAGGTGCTGGCTTAGAACTGCTTCTTTCCTCATCCTCCCTGGTCTTTCGTCATAACACGTTTTCACTTTTCATGGTGCTTCCTGGTGCCAGGCACAATTCTAATACTTTAATTCATACCTAGAAAGTAGGGCTCTGTTATGGCTTAAATTTGAAGTGTACCCCAAAGTTTATGTGTTGAAGGTAGTGATCCACAACGTGAAATGTTCAGAGCTGGGGCCTTTGGGAGGTGACTAGAGCCTGAGGGATTAATCCATTGATAAGTTCATAGCTAGACATGGTGTTGGGAGGTGGTAGAAACTTTAGGAGGTGGATCTAGTTGGAGGAAGCAGGTCACTGAATGTGCATATTTGGTCCCAGTCCATGATGTGAGCGGCATTACTCTACCACATGTTCCCACCATGATGTTCTGTCTCAACCCAGGTCCAGAAAAAAAAAAAATGGAGTTGAGGGACCAAGGATCAAAACTTCAGAAACCGTGAGCAAAGCATCAGTATTTTTTCTCCTTTAAGCTCACTTCTTGAGTATTTGTCACAGTGGTGGAAAGCTGATTAATACAGTACTTTTTTTTTTTCTTTTTTGAGATGGTCTCCCTGTAGCCCCAGCTGGCCTGGAACTCATTATGTAGAGCAGGTTGAACTTGATCTCACAGAGATCTGCCTGCCTCTGCCTCTCAAGTGCTGGGATTAAAGGTGTTTACCAGCACGCCTAATACAGTACTCTTATAAATTCATTTATAGATGAGGAAATGGAAGCCCAAAGAAGCTTCATACTTCTTAAGGTTACACAGGCATAAGTGCACAGAGGCAGGGCTGGGATCTGAACCCTGGAGTCTGAGTCCAGAATGCATGTACTTGGCCATGCTCTGAGTACATAGGTTCAGCACTAGCAGATCCAAGGGACAGTCTAGTTTCTTTTCCTTCTTTCCCAGAGGGAAACAGACTTGTTAATCAAGCTGATTATAGGGAGGATCTTCCTGTGGGAGCCTGGCTGGGATCAATTTGCATGACCACTTGGTACTTAATAGTGTTGTCAAAGCAAACCTCATCTTTATTTGCTTAATTTAAAATGTACTCACTTTGTTGTATTTAAATACATCTATGTAATGGGGAAAATTATGTCACTATCATAAGTAGAACTATGAGCATCACTTTCAAGAAACAGAAAGTCACTGGTGAAGTAACTGATGAGAATAGCACAAGGTAGTTCATTTCTAGCTCAACGCTAGTTCTGCCCTCTTTTTTTTATGAATAATAAGTACCAGAGAAGGATTAGAGGCTCATCAAATAGAACATTTTTCTGAAGTAATTAGGGTTAAAATGGCTTTAAAGGAACCCCTCTTTGATAAATGTTATTTATTCCACTGTCCCTATCCATTAAAGTCATCTAACGCATGGTGGGTGGGTTGCATGCTTTGGGAGGCACTTGTTTGAGATTTGCGATGGTTAATTTTATGTCAACTGGGTTAGGCTATAAAGCCCAGTTGTTTGTTCAGACAGTGCTCTGGATACTGCTGTAGGGTATTTTTAGGCATGATTAACATTTAAATCAGCAGACTGAGTAAAGCAGATCACCATCCATAATGTGAATGATGGTCTCTTCTAATTGGTCGAAGGTCTTAAGAGGAAAAGCCGAAATTTCCCCCAAAAGAAGGAGTTCTGTCTCCAGGCTGCAACACCGACTCTTATTAGAATTCCAGCCAGCTGCTGGCCAGCCTTGGAAATATTAGACTTGCAGGCCCATGATCATATGAGCCGATTCTTTTATATGAATGTTGTTCCTTCCTCCTTCCTTTCCTTTCTTTTTGAGACTGAATCTCACTCTATAGTCTAGGCTGGCCTTGAGCTTACTATGTAGTCCAGATTGGCCTAAGACATTCAGTGATCCTCCTGCCTCAGTGTCCCCTCCAGCCTCCCCTCAGGAGTGCTGGGATTACAGACGTGAGCCACCCCCCACCCCCACTGGAGAAGTCCAATGCACTATCAGACACAATGCCAGCCTCCCCCATCCCATCACTCTTTGTCTGGCTGAATCTAGGCTTCAGTGTCTGTCCATTCTTTATCATCCTGCTGAATCTCGCAGTGACACACTTTAAGAACATGAGGCAAAATGAGAGGCAGGGGTATTTCCTCTGAAGGCATAAAACTTTGCTTTTAGGTCCCAGTTTCCTGTCTGAGGGAGGATCCAGTACCTCAAACAACGATTGACAAGAGAAGTAGTCATCTCCTTTAGGAGGAGTCAGCACAGAAATGAGGTCCATAGAGCTCTTTCCCACAGTGTAGATGCAGCCTTACGATCCTTCCCAATGCAAGAGTCAGAGCTGCTACCACTTCAGACAGGAGGATTCAGAATGAGCCCAGACAGCTGAAGTACAGTCCATAGGCCTAATACCTGGACTGTAGGTGCAGGGTGCTCAGCGGAGGGTGAATTGATGTCAGGTTGACTGAATTTGGGGGTGCCCAGATAACTGGCAAAGCATTATTTCTGGGTGTGACTGTAAGGAGACTTCCTAAGAGACTGGCATTTGAATTCTAGATTAAGAAAGATCCACCCAATGTGGACATCCAATAGGTTGAAGGCCCTGATAAAATAAGAAAGGCAAATTCTCTCTCTCTGTCTCTCCCCCCCACCCCATTGCCCTTCTACCCATTGCCATAATAGGATGGCAACAATGTGCCACCTTGGCAGCAAAGAGCAGCCCTCAAGCCCTCGTGGCATTGTGAGCTTGGCCATCCCAGTGGCCATGTGTGAGAATACAAATTTCTGTTCTTGACTTAGTGCCTATCCCGAGCGGGCCTCTCCTCTCTCCCTTCCCTACAGCTGGAAGACATAGCTAAAAGGAAAAGAAGAATCCAGGAGGGAAATTCTTTCTGAGAGGCACATGGACAAGAAGCCCTCAGACAACCTGAATGCGGGGACTAGGGAGAACTGTCTGCTATACTGACAGCACCTCAACAGTGGGATGCCGGGTCTCTGGAAGCAGCAGGGCTAAGAACACTTTGCTTGAAAGCAGAGGAGACAGGAGCCAGCAGCTCAGCTTTGGGCTTGTGGTGGACATCAGCAAACACTCATTAGGACTTGCTGTGTGTTAAGAGTTTTGCACATGTTACACACTGAAGTGCCACATGTCCAATGACATGGGTCCTCATAGAATAAAAAGGGACTCTGACCCAAATCACACTGTCATACAGGGCAAGGAATGGGCTACACATGGTGCTCACAGATGGCACCCCAGGGATCACCAGAAAGAACTTGCCTTTCCCTCACAGGCATCCATAGTCTACTGTGTGGCACACAGTGGAGTTCAGTGTAGACACTGGTTGAAGCTTTGGGAAGAGGGGGGAATCTGCTCTTACATATCAGGGTCCTCAGGTGGCCCTGATCACAGGTAGAAACAAGGTCACCTGAGGGCTTGTATAGGTTCATGATGGGGAAAGTTCTCTGGCTGTGGGCAGCCTCACACTGAGCCACAGCAAGGCAGGAAGAAGTGGCTCCATGGGAGATGCCACCTGGGGAATGCTCCAGAATTGCTGGGTGAGTTCTACAGAGGGGCTAGCCATCCAGTGAGTCTGAGGAACTTCAAGCTGGCAGGCCTGAGGGGGACTTGGCTTGCCCCAAACCTCTGGAGGTGCAGCATAACAGATTTAGGTTTTCCAGGCACCAATCATCTTAATATCCTCTGTCCTCTGGGAGGACAGCTGTGCTGCAGTCCTTCACAGGAAGCAAGGAAGGGTGAAGGTAGGTGGCTTCCATCTCAGAGACCTCACAATTGTGTCTGTTTGAGTGTGTGTGTGTGTGTGTGTGTGTGTGAGAGAGAGAGAGAGAGAGAGAGAGAGAGAGAGAGAGAGAGGTGGTCCATGTTAGATGTCGTTCTTAATCACTCTCCATCATATTTTCTAAGACAGGGTCTGTCACTGAACTTGAGCTCACTAATTCTGCTATACTGGTTGACCAGTTAGCCCCAGGAATTCTCCTGTCTCTATTTCCCCAGGGATGGCTTACAGGTGCTGCACCTGGGCTCTTTTAAAAACATGGGTTCTGAGCACTGAACCCAGGTCCTCACACTTATGCAGCCAACATTTTATTGACTGAGCCATCTCTCTGCTCTCATTCATTTTTTTTTCAAATAGCTGGAAGGGGACAGGGACACTGTGGATACTTAGCCAAACAACCAAACAACCAAGACCCCTAGAGCTGGGATGCCCCTCTCTGTCCCCCATGGAGTCACTCTGTCCTCTCAGGCTTCCTCTCT